TTAACGAAACAAAAAGACATTAAGGTTGAATGTTCACCACTTCCATTCGACTTACACGCCACTCCTGTCGTACTCTGAGCTACAGAATTCGATGATCCTAGAAAGAATTGGACAGTTGACGCGGCAGTACTATTGGACGCGTTAGCCGGTACAAGAATGTTTATCATAACCCTGTTTTACAGCACATCTAGACATCTTCTTCATTAGTAACCCTAATATATGAATACTCTAGCAGATACTAGCACTATTTCAAATCAGCCAACCTCTGTTTATTCGATATTGATTTTAGATTATAAAATGTTATTCGAAATAGTATCTGAATATCTAACTGATAAGTTCAGTCTTTCGCTCATGAGATCCGACTCGATCTGAGTACGTCAAAACTCAGGTGTCGCGTGCGATCATAACTAGCGGGAACGAAAATATGTGGAACAGAAGTTTGAGGTAGCGTTCTTTCTGAACTCATTTCTATGTAGTGCATACAATGGGTTCGGACGCTGCGAGCGGGTACCAACCAAATGCTTAAACAAAGCATAGACCAGTCGTATCGCGAAAGCAATACTTACCGTATTTATTGGGTAAGTATGATACGATTAATCAATGGCATTTTTTACAACTTCAAAGAGTCTGATGTTTAATTCATACTGACAATGTGGAAAGAAAGAAACCCTTAAACACTTTTTACTGCAATGCTTCTCAAATGATTCTCCTCTTGCTGCTATACCGAACAGAATAACTCATTTGACGCCTTGCGCAAAGCTTTCCTTAGAAGTGAGGTTGCTGCTTTTGAGAAAGATCACTGTTGAACTATATGTATATATACAAAGCCACTATTAATGCATGTGTTAGGTCACGAGACCTGAACTGCACGCAGATACTGTAGCGTCAGTATACTACTGCATGTTTATATAGAAGAAACATTTCCTTTCCAGGAAATGTATTTCATATAGTCACCATGTCGTCATGCCATCCTGTGACACCATTGTATATATTACATCACTGTTTATATTACATCATGTTTTCTGTTACGTTCCTTTTTTCCTTCTTTCACGCCTATATATACACAGGCATATACTGTACTAGGGTGTGCCTTGGCTTTCTTAATAAAGATTTGTACCTACAAGTGAAGATTCATACAAGTTAGGTGGAACCTAACAATTGGTGCACTAGCCGGCTCACTTTCAATCCAAGATCACAGTAAGTACAAGCGAGCCAAATAATCCAATCATTACCACTAGCCGGTGGTAATTTTATATGCCAGTGCGAACAAGGGCGCAACATTACGAATTCGAGCGCAACGCAGAGGAACAACTTGGTGATGAATTAGAGCGGTTAGGAGGTATTGAAGTCGAGCAAAGTAATAATCCACGTCAGCAGGCACATACCGTTTATCGTCCAATACAATTCATCATGGCCGAGAAACTAGTAAATTCTATGCTCTCAAAACGTTTAGAAAAGCTACCGA